CCTATGGTTTGGACGGTCAACAACGCTTGGTCCCACAGGGGAGATTTTCTATTTCAACGATCAATTCTAACTCAACTAAGTACAGGAGCAAGTGTTTTTGGAATCTTTTAGTAATTTGCATTTTCTAAAGATACTGTGGTATAGTGAATTATCCAATGTCTTTGAAAGTCATGATATGTAACTCCCACCAAACAATGTATCAGCTCTCCTGGTTCTGGGTAAGAGATGGTGGGAGAAGATACTGCTATGGGATAATATGATTGGATAACATGATTCAGCTCTGGATATAAGCAGAGATAATTTTAATTGTAAAAACTTGAAACTCTAGCATGGGTTTAAAATGAGACATCTAAGAAACAGGAAGGAGGTTCTCACTACCATCAAAGAAGAGTGAGGAATGAAGTGTATCCTTTGGACCCTGATGTCCTTTGCTCATTGAACCTCCTTGACGGGGACAGAAAGCTGTGAAATTGGAGGCGTGGCAGAGAGCAACAGCCGCAGAACCAAGAAGGAGAGCCCAAGACAGCAGTGTACTTCCCAGCCTACAGAGCAAATCAACTTTGGATAGTAATCTTGCTTATACAGTGGGGTGCCTCCAGGGATGTAAGTGGGGGAACTAGGTTTGCTGACTCATGGAGGTAGAGCCAAGAGCTTTCAGACTGAGGCTTGGGGTGGAATGGTGTGTCCTATGGGCATTTATCAGCAACTAACTGAAACAATTGTGCTCTGAGCATTTCTGATCCCAAATTGTAACCTATTAGCTTCCCTAATAAACCCCATAACTGTGAATATGGTGTCTGAGTTCTCTGTGGCTTTTGCAACAGATTATTGAACCCAAGTAGAGAGGGTTGTAGGAAGAGTGGTTGATGCTTCATATTGTTGCCAGATTTAGATAAGGGATAAGATTTGGAGCCACAGAAATGAAAATATCCAGAAAGTTAGGACAGGCCAGCCTTGAACTTGGGACAAAAGTAACAAATAACAGTACAACAAGCAACACCCAGTAGATATTTAGTTTTTATTATCTCTATTACTAAGAACGAGTTCAGGTGTAGGATAACCTGGACTGCAAGGTTGGTTTGTATTGCAAAATTGGTGATTGAAACTCTTCAGTCATTTCTCAGAAACCCTATGCAGGTTTGCTATGAGTTGAAACCAACTCACTGGCATTTAACAACAACAATCATTAAAGATTTCAAGAGGACAGTGAAATAAATAGTACAATGGTAATTGAGGTGGAAGGCAAATGAAAAACCTTGTCCAGAAGAATAGGAACTTTTATCTCAGACTAAGTTTCTCAGCCTCACTTTTACATAGTTTTGCTGCCATTGTTACCCACCAAATCCACCTCCCACCCCACTTATATTTTGATCGATGTTTAGGTAAATCAAGAAATTTTAACAGTATGAAATAGCAACAAGGCAAGATACAAATGGATATTTCAACTCTCCCAGGTCATTTTTGTTTGACATTTCCATCAGAAAAAACAATGATTTTATATTTTATCTCTATCCTTCCTCTCTCCTCCCCCATCCCCATCAATCCATTATGAAGTACTCTTCATGCTATTTTTATGCCTCAGATTCATCCATTTCTCTTCATCTCTACTATCATTTCTTTTTGGGCTACTCCATGTGACTTCTTTACTTGGTTCTCTTCTTCCAATTCTTACTTATCTCTGGTCCATTTTTCTGAAGCTGCTTGGGTGAACTTTTAAAAAAGTAAATCAGATATGCCACTATTCTGAATATACTATAGCTGTTTCCAGTTGTGCATAGAACAGTGCAAGCTACTTAACATGGAAAAGGAAATCCCACAAGACCTGGTCCATGCCCATGCCTTAACCCCCAGTGCCAGAGTAGACAGTAAACAAGGTAAACATGGCTTACTTGAGCTTACTTATTAATCTGTAATAAACAATTTCATATTGTTTCACCACATCAAAGATTGTGCTCCAAGGTATGGCTAGTGTCTGTGTTTCTTCACAACCCCTAGTACCTTCTTACCAAATCAAAGCTTCCTTTCAAATTTATAATCCTTGACAAGGATGCAGTATCTAGTCAGTAAGGTAAACACAGACTGACATGTGTTTATTTACTGCAGAAATATATGTGCCACCAACCATTCTTTCACAGCACTCTGCATCTCGTCTGGGTTCAATAATTCAATGTAGTGGTCATATAGGAACTCAGAGACATTGCTTACAGATATGGAATTTATTGGAAGTTAACAGGTTACTGGTCAGGACCAGAAAATGCACAGTGCACAATTCTTTCAATCAAGACACCCTCTCCACAGTCATGTCCACAGGCAGGCCTCTCTGCCTGGGTAATGTTAGCAAAGCTCTTTTAAGATTGCTGATAAAATGCCCACAAGACATATCACTCCACATAAGCTTCAGTCTGAAGGCTCTTGGCTCTTGCTCTATGGATCAGGAAACCTAGCTCCCCTTAGTTTTGCACCAGAAGAGTCAGCCTCCTGCCCAAAGTGACTCAATTTTACTTGCTTCATGACCTGAGAAGCCCACCCTTCTGTCCCATGCTCTGGCTCTTGGTTCTGCTGGCTGCAGCTCGTCTTCCGCTCCTTCAGTGTTTGGGTCAAGAAAGTTCAATATACAGGAATTTTGGAGTCTAAATTCCTGGCTCTTCGTTCTTGGTGGTAGTGAGCTCCTTCCTCCTGTTTCTGAGACGGTTCATTATATATCCATGCTAGAGTTTCAAGTTTTTACAATGATAATTAACTCTGCCAGCATTCACTGCTGAACCACCTCATCCTATCTGTATCTTCTACCACCTCTTCTTACCTAGACCCAGCAGGGAAGAAACAGTGTTTGCTGGGAGTTACAGGATGGCAAGAAGAAACATTAATAACTCACTACACTGAATTTATTAAGCTCTACAGATTGTTGTTGTTGTGAAGTGCCATCCAGTCGGTTCTGACCCATAGCGACTCTGTGTAGGGTTTCTGAGGAGCAGCTGGTGAGCTTGAACCACCAACCTTGCAGTTCAAACAGCTTTGCAGTCTGGCGCATTAACCCACAGCGCCACACCAGGACTCCAAATAAGCACTACAGATTACTTTACTTTATTTACTGGGTAATCTGCCCCTGCTTCTTTCCTTCTCTTTTCAACAGAGTGAACACACCAGTTTCTTTAACTCTTTTCTGTTTCAGTTTTTGTATCTGCTGCTATCACTTCAAAGTTTTCACCATAGCTTTTGAAGGGCTTAAGTCAGAGACATTCTATGGCTAATAGCACCTATGGCAAACACCACTGTTTAAATATCTAACACCTACCCTATCACCTTAAAAAATAAGATTCAAGCTCGTTAAACTTTTACTTAACATATGACGGCACTACGTGAAAATTACAACTGCACCTTCTTTGTGTTTACTGATGAAAACTGGTCTAGTATATGCTCAAAAGTATTTATTTTTTTCAGTTTCTTTTCTTTCTGTGCACATCAGAGAAAGATCACACAGTCTCTCTTGACCCATAAGCAAAGCCACTATCATCAAGTTGATTCAGACTCATATCAAACCTATCTAGGATTTCTGAAGCTGTCAATATTTACAGGAGGAGAAAGCCATATCTTTTTTCCTCAGAGATGCTAGTGGGTTTGAACAGCTAAACTTATAGTTAGTAGTCTAGTGCTTATTCTACAGTACCACCAGGGTAACTTACCTTGACCCATTGCTGTTGTTAAGTGCCATCAAGTCAGTTCCGACCCATAGTGACCCTGTATAGGTTTTCTGAGGAGCGACTAGTGAGCCTGAACCACTGACCTTACTCTTTCTTTTTAAAACTGACTTTGCAATCCACCACATTAACCAACAGTGCCATACCAGTACTCCACCTAGAGGCTTTCAAATACACAAGTATAGTTTTGATTCTTTCATAACCAAATTATTTTCTGCTTTGCATTTTTTTGCTATCACATGTTTTCTGCAATAGGATGCATGATGAAATCAAGGAGAAAATTTGAGATAATATGGAATTTGATGTGGGACACATATGTCACAAGTAGACTTTGGTTGAAGGATCAGTAGGGGAGGCCTGTTTCTTCAGCTTCACAGTTATACAGGTCCCTGCCAGGCAGTAGCATGTACTACAACTGAGATAGCAACTACCCAAGAAACTTACAAGGCTTAAAATATTAGTAAGCAATATATGGCCCATGGATCATGAAAGTGTTAACTTACTGAATGATTTCTTGCAATTGGCAATGGAAATACTATGGTTGATAGAAACTGCTCAGTGGTACCCTCTTGAAATAGCATTCAGAGTATGTACCATGACTTCTATAACTTAGATATACCTCTGGGTTGAATCCTTCTTATCCTCATGGCTCAGTTTAAATGCCTTCTTTCAAAAGAGGTTTTCCCTGACCACCTTCCCTTTCTCACCAGTTAAGTGTTCCTTCAGTTTTTCTTCATAGCACACAATCTGTAATATCATTTTTATGTATTTGTTTACTAGTTTGATATGGAAAATATACTAGCTCTAAGGAGTCTCTGGATAGTTCAAATAATTAAGTACAACACTACCAGCCAGAAGTTGGCGATTCAGACATACCCAGACACTCCTTGGAAGACATACCTGGCAATGTGCTTCTGAAAGGTCATAGTCTTGAGAAACTTTTGGAGCAGTTCTATCCTGCACACATAGGTTGCAATGAGTAGGAATTGACTTGATGGCAACTACCACTATTATTAGCTTTAGTTCCAAGTGGGCAAAGACACCGTCTGAGCATGTTGTTGTTAGGTGCTATCAAGTAGGTTCAGACTCATGCGGACTGTATGCACAACTGAACCAAACACTTCTCCAGGAACTTGTCCTTCCTGACAACATCTCCAAAATACAAGAGTTGAAGTTGCTTCTAAGGAGCATTCTAGCTGTGCTTCTTCCAAGTCAGATTTGTTTGTTCTTCTCAGTCCTTGGTACTTTCAATATGCATCACCAACACCATAATTCAAATACACCGATTCTTCTATGTTCTTTCTTATTCATTGTTCAACTTTCACATGCATATGAAGTAATTGAAACCATGACTTGGGTCATGTGCCCAGCATATTGCAGACAGTTGATGAAAGTTTGTTGAATTAAATAATACAGAAAGTCTCATGGGCAGTTTTGTCAAAATATCACAATGACTATTTTCCAAAAATTGTTCATTGAAATTTCATTTATTAAATCATATGTTTTAAATTCACTGGAAATGCTTATGATTTGAAGTACTGCTTTTGTAAAGCAGATCATGTACACTTAATTGTTTGCACTCTGTTAGGTTTTTTATTTACTGGTTTAACATAGAGTTAGGGATTCCTTTTGGTAACAGTAGCATTTTTTCCCCCTAATTACTAACTTTAAAGCTGACTTGACTCAAAAGAGCTCACATCAGCATCTGTGTTTAAAGTTTAAAATTCCAGGAAATGGATCTATGTATGTATTTTATTAATGTAAATTATAAACTGGTATTGTCCTATGCCCTTAGGTATTTAGAGTCCCTATGACTTGCAGATGACCCTGTGTCTTGTACAAATGAGCAAATTGTTTTTGGTAAATGGATCTCTCTTGTTTCTGCTACCTCTACTTACTAAGTATTAAAGGAATTTATATACTGACTCTCCTCTTAATGTTGTGATAGCTGCTGATTGAAATATTTGTACCAGGAATAGGCAAGCAAATGTGGGACCCTGAAGACAATCAGACTTCATGCCTAGATGTACATAAAGTCTTCCAATGTATTGTAAATAGTGATTAAAGACTGTCTTGTGAGTTCTGTTACCCAGGACCTGGAATATAGGGATGTGGTAAAGAGAGATAGCCAGTAATATTTAAGGAGTAGGTTTTCTAGAGGTGGAAAAATTCCATAAATCAATATAAATTAGTGGGACAGAGGCCCCTTGATGAGTGTTATGATCAGAGATGGGATCTTATGGCCAAAATTTTTTTTAATCAGTATTCTTTAGCAATAATTTGGCCTTAATAGTGAAAATTTTAAGTTTTTACTCTGGGGAAAAAAAACTCTCAATAATTGTTTATAAAGCATTTTTAAGGCTAAAGTTTTCTCTAATTACAGCAAGGCCCTTGACGTCTTTGCTTTATTAGGGATGACCAAGATAGTTTGGCAAGTGTGTGCTTACTCCTGGCTCTGTAATGGAGAGCACATATTTTAGAGTCTTGATGAGAATGCTGCTTTTAGAATAATTCCTTAATTGATTATCTGTCTAGAACGGTAGAACATTTGCCTGCAAGTGTATTGGACCTTTTAAATGGATTAAAGAACTGGTGTAATCTTTTGTTTTCCTTTGATTTCTTCATCAGCACCACTCACAGTTTCCTTTTTGGAGCATTGGCTGAATTGCTTGACAATGCAAGGTAAGGTTTCTCTGTGGGCAAAGATTGCTGAGGGAATTTCATGATATAAATCAACTTGAGTGAATAAAAGGTAATGTTATTTTTTTTCTCATTTGGAGTTTTAAATGGCAAGTTCGGTGGTTCCAGCTCACCAGCTGATCCTTGGAAACCCTATACAGGGTCGCTCTGGGTCAGAATCGACTCTATGGCACTTAACAACAAGAACAGCAATTTCCTCAAAAATCAAAGGAGTATAGTAAAAAGAAAGGAACTCTGGTAGCACAGAGGTTATAGGTCAGGCTGGTAATCTCAAGGTCAGCAGTTCAAAATTACCAGTGGTTCTGTGGGAGAATGACAAGGCTTTCTGCTCCCATAAAGATTTACAGCCTTGGAAACCCTATACAGGGTTGCTATGAGTTAGAACCGACTCCATGGCAGAGAACCACCATAGTAAAAAGGACAGGCAAGAGCAGTAATCAGTCACCTTGTATTTACTGTCAAACTTGAAGTGAGATTTTTGCTTTTGTGTTAATAATCATGTAATAGCAGATATCCACCTGAATGTTTTATGTAAGTTTTAGATCAATATGCACTGTCTTGAAAATATCCATTTTGGTTTGGACATTTATTTAAGTCTTCATGCAGTGAATTGTATACAGTTAAAGAGAAAAGAATTAACAGTTGCTCATGTCTTACTTTGTATCAAGTCTATGCTAAGCACTTTATATATGACTATTATTAAGTCATTAATCTTTATAACAACATACTGAGGTGGGGATCATATCATCTTAGTTCTTAGGATGTGGAAATTAATGCACAGGGAGCAAAGCCACACAGTACTTGACAAAGCTAGAATTTAAATTCAGACTTACTATAGAATCTCCCTCCTTCATTTAACTGCCTTCCTGACAAAGGTATTGATGGCTTTGGAAAACTCTTTAATAATTTAAGACAAATACACTCAGTAGTGTAATTGTTCTGGGGAGCTTATATGGGAGTCAGTTTTTCAGTTAAATTGAACATTACACTTTGATTGATTTTACATTTGTATTTCCCCATAACATAGGAGTTTACATAGTTTTTCTGCTGAAAGCAAATTACACCCAGGAAGTAGAATGAAGTTGTTAGATAAGAGATCTCAACAGAAAAACCTAGATTCCCTGCCACTTGTTGGTAACTGTATTTTGGCTTTTGTGTTTGTATCTCATTTTTGGCCATAAAATGGAGATGACTGGGAGTGTAACCATAGTCATGATCATTAACCAGCCACCGAGTACCTTCTGTCTAGTGCTGGGCTCAGGATATAAGTTGTTGTTGTTGTTAAGTGCCATCGAGTTGGTTCTGACCCATAGCAACCCTGTATAGGGTTGCCAAGGAGTAGATGATGAGCTTGAACCACCAACTTTGTGGTTCAAACCTACTGTGCAGTCCAGCGCATTAACCCACAACAATGCCATCAACTCATAGCAACTCCATGCATAACAGAATGAAACACTGCCTCGTCCGGAATAATCCTCACAATTGTTGCCATGTTTGAGCCCACTGTTGCAGCCCCTATACCAGTTCCTCTCATTGAGGGATCATCTTTTCTTTCAATGACTAAATGTGATGTCCTTCTCCAGGGACTGATCCCTTCGAATAACATGTCAAAAGCAAGCATGTGAGACAAAATCTTACCATCCTTCTTTTTTTAAGGGGCATTCTGGCTGTTCTTATCAAAAGACAGATTTGTTCATTCTTCTGGCAGACTATGCTATATTGAATTTTCTTCACTAACACCATAATTCAAATGTATCAGTTTTTCTCTGGTCTTCCTCATTCATTGTGCAGCTATCATATGCACATAAGCATCGAAATACCATGGCTTGAATCCCGTGTACCTTAGACTATACATATTATTTACAAATTTGCTTTTGAAAAAAAATAAAGGGAAAAAACTTATGATTTCTAGATATTTCTTTATTTTAAAAAAATTATTGTACACTTATCCATTTTGTTGAACTTTTTATGTAACTACTACTACATTTGATCTCTTAGATCTATGAGTTTCATGCTTTGTAATAGTCTAAAGTTATAACCCATCATAGGTCTTGGAATATAAATGCACAATGAAACATTTTGTCATTGTTTTTGATGCAATCAAAATGGATTTGTCAATTGTTTGATACCTCACATAAGAAATTTAGATTAATGTAATTAAAAAACTATAATTTCATATTAAAGAAATACTTTTATATTGTTTCCAGAGATGCAGGGGCTGCAAGACTTGATGTATTTTCAGGTGAGCTGATTTGCTTTCTTCCTTGTTTTTTAATTTTTATTTTTTACCTTTAATGGAAAACTCTGCAGTTATTTTACTTTTATTATATTTCATGAGATCAAACCATATTGTATATATTTTTAATGTTATCTAAGTGCTTTGTGACTACAGTGGCCCTGTGGGAAGCCAGTATGAAAAAAGTAAACTCAGAGAATCTCATTGTTCAATTGTTACAAGACCCATTTATGAAATTAGATCTTCCAGGATTTTGTGAAAGTAATTTGGTGCAGTTTGTCTGCCATGAAAAAACAGTATAGGAACCTATTTATATTTATAATTAATCAACATCATTCCAAATTTATCATAGTTTTATAATCCATAAGTGAATTTGCCATATGAATGTTTGAGGGCTAAAAAGCCCAAACTAAGTATGTTTCCTTTATTAATTCTATTTCTAGTCACTAAGCATTTATTGCCCTAACTAGTTGATTTCATTGGAATGATCCTAATGAAGTTAGACTCCATGAAAGAATTCAGTAGTAATATTTCATTGAGAAAAGGCCCATGGTGTTAACACTGTTTCTCACCCTGATTCTGCCAGCTCTCTGTTAATAGGATGGGGCTTCAAAAAATTCTCAGAAAAATAGAATTAAAAGATAAGAGCATTTCCCAAGAACTAGTTGAAGCCCCTTTGTATTGGCTGTTAAGGGATATGACCTAAGGTGTGAATCCTCAAGTGTATTAACAAAGCAACTCTCTTCAATTCACTTGTCTGCCTGCTTAAGATTTTGAGCTATATGGGTGCTGATGAATCATGAGTCATCAACTCCAGATAGCTGAAGAAACATAACAAATGACACTTCTGAAGATTTTGAGAAATTAAACAAGTGTCAACTTTAATTATTGGTAAGTACTAGATTAGAATATGTAGTTTAACATAAAAGCCAAATGAACTTGCTTATTAAATTCCAGAATCAGGCTGAGTCCCCAAGTAGTCATATCAGACTTCCACTCAAAACTGATCTACCCAGAGGAGAGCAGAGCAGAGCAGAACACATTCTTTCTGTAGGCAGCTCTCTCTCAAGAGGAAAAATAGGGTATCTGAACATAGACTGCCCAGTAGATTCTTCCCATAGTAACCCATCAGATGTTAGCTTTTTCCTACAGGGGAAAAGTTGGGGAAAAGATGTTGCTAAGTGCAGTCAAGTTGGTTCTGACTCACAGTGACCTCATATAGGGTTTCCAAGAAGCAGCTGGTGTGTTTGACTCACCAGCCACTGTGATTAGTAGTCCTACAGCACCACACCAGGACTCTGGGCAATAGGATAGAGAAGAGTAATACTAATTGAACTCCGTAGCATATAGTGGAAATGATAGTAGTGGAGTGGGCGGGAGGGGGGAGTGTTCTTATTTACCCAATTGCATAGAGTATAATAAATGTCTAGAAGAGATTCAGAATATGGAGAAAACTCAAAGAAAGAAGACATTTATGTCTCATGTTAAGGAGCTCAGACTTGAAATATGGATGTGATTTTTTTGTGTAGCATAAGAAGAAAAGAATATTTTTGTCTGAGAGAGTATTATGAGAAAAAGAATGGAAGTCGATTACTTCTGAGAGTCAGTCATTTATTCAATAACAGTTTACTCTGTGTCTGCTAAGAACAAGCCAAGCTATGCCTTACATAGATAATTGAGTGAAACATTTGATCAGGGGCCATGCTTACTAATGTTTCTATGAAAAATGTATGCATTAATCACCTGTTCATGTTATAACTTTTCATTGAAGTGTCTATGCATTGCAGTGTCTAATGCATGTTTTGTCTGTCAAAGTAGAAAAATAGGATTTTCTTTCTTAAAAAGCATCAGATCTTATGCAAGACTTAGTCAATAAATAAAATTAGTCTGGGGAAAGAAATATTGATGGTTAACAGGAGTAGAAGGAAAGAGGAAGTAATAGGATAGACGTGTGTTAACTTGGGTGAAAGGAAAGGCAATATGCAATAAGAGAGAGATTGGCAGAAAAATGATGAAGGCAAGGGAAGACATGGGAAGAATGGAAGAGTTAAAGACAACAGAAGGAAATACTTTTATATTCACGGTCCTTCAATAACAATGGTGTAGGGGTAGATACATAGATAGACATGCAAACTATGGGTGTGGGAGACAATGTGAGTGTATTACCACAGATGTATAAAGGTTTGACAGAAGAAATTTTTACTTGGGCAAATATTTACCTTTGCTGCTAACATAACCATGAATATGGTAGAGCAAACAAGGGGGCAGAGTTATGAAATTTTTTTTAGATATTACCAAACATCTTGAGGGAATGAATTGTTGAGTTTGGGGGTCAAGATCATAGTCTCAGGGGACACTATGGTCAATTGGTATAAAATTGGTGTAAAAGTTCACCAAGACAATATCCTATATCTTACTTTGGTATGTTGTAACTAGGACCTTAAAAGCTCATGAGTGGTCTTCAAAGGTGCAACGACTGATCTTTCCTCCTCCAGAGGAAAGGAGAGTGATAAAAATTGAAGTCCCTTGTAAACAATTAGTCCAGTGGAATGACTGGACCTCATGAACATCAGTCTCCATGACCCTGAGAACAGAAGAACTAGGTGGTGCATGACTACCTCTACCAACTCTCTGAAAGGAGTCACATTAGGAGGTCCAGATAGAATGGGAAAATTTTTGAAAGAAAACTTAAGATTATAAAAAAGATATAAACTGGTGGAACCCCGAGGTCATAGCCCTTTGTCACCCTTTAGGTCTGGAACTAAACTCGCCCTCATTGGTTCCATTTTCAATCAAGCAATAGGTAGGTATGAAAAAAGGGACAACAACACTAGTGAGGAACACAAACCATAGAATAGTCAACCATTTGAGATCAAAAGAGCAGCATCTACTCAACGACAAAATTCAGGATTGAGGGGATTGTAATCATTGAGATGAAATGAAATCTGGGACATAAGCCTACAAAAGAGTCTTGGTATGACACTGTAGGATAAGCACTGAACTTCTAACCACAAGGTCAGTGGTGCAAATCCACCAGTTAGTTGCTCCTCAGAAACCCTGTACAGGGTTGCTATGAGTCAGAACCAACTCAAGGGCACTTAACAACAACAAGCCTACAAAAGCTTGTTCCCTAATCTGCATATTTTGGATTCACCAGCCTCCACAATCCCATGAGCCTACAGAAGTCTAAAGCCTGCTTTCTGAGTTACAGATGTAGGACTTGCCAAATATATGTGTCATTCTGTGGAGTAAATCACTCTCTGTCTCTATATGAGCACCTGATGTGGAAGGAATAGAAAGGCTTTCTAGAATAAATTCTGTACAAACTAATTCTTGTTGTTGTTAAGTGCCTTCGAGTCGGTTCCGACCCATAGCGACCCTGTACAGGGTTTCCGAGGGTGTAAATCCTTACGGGAGTAGAAAGCCTCATCTTTCTCCCGCGGAGCGGCTGGTAGTTTTGAACCACTGACCTTAAGGTTCGCAGCCCGATTCGTAACCACTACGCTACCAGAGCTCCTTCTTCCAAGTTACTTTAAGGAAATTTAAGTAATTTTGGAGAATAATTTAGAGATCTCTATAAATAACTTAAAACTAGCCCATGATTAGATTAACTATCCACCCTAGACCATTTTTTTTAATGTTTAGTATAAATTGAGTGAATGTTTGCAGAGTAGATCATCAGTTGTATATTCTACAAATCATAGATTTCATTTCATCTCAATGATTACAGTCCCCTCAATGTATTGCATTAGGCAAATCTACTGCACAAGACCTTTTTAAAGTGTTGAAGAGCAAAGATGTCAGCTTAAGGACTAAATTGCACCTGACTGAAACCATATTTTCAATAACCTCAAATGCATGAAAAAACTGGGCAGTTAATAAGGAAGACCTTAGAAGA